ACCTGCAGGGGCAATGACACCTGGGATATGCTAGGTGTACGGAGCCAGGGTAGGAGAAAGACGTCTCCTTCTGCCTGCCACCCTCCACTCACATTAGTGATTTCTCCAGTGTCCCCAGTCACCCTCCAAAGATTGTAAAGATGCCAGTGAGACAGAGAGGGCCATCTGCTCTAGGTGGTGAAACCTGTGAGCAAATAACCTCTATCCAACTATTGTGCAGAGGCTCAGCAAGTCCCCTCTCAGCATTTAGGTGAAGTAGACTCTAACATCTTGCCCCTGGCAGAACAACAGATGCAGATTTGGGGAGTAAGGAACCTGAGTTACCACATGCATCCCTACTTTTTCCAGTGAGGAATGGCTCTTTCTTAGTGTGACAGCTTAGTAAGTAGCACCAATATGCGACAGCTTAAGATCATCACTAATCAACTAATATATGAAAGAGCAACCTCAGCATACTAAAGATATCAAGGTACCATGTGAAAAAGTTGTGACATTAGAGACTGGGTCGTGGCGTCCTGGCCACTCTAGCCCTATTTCATGTACTGACCCACTTACCTCACGTGAGCCCAGTGGCCCAGATTGAAAGCTCAAGGGCTTTCGGCCCTGCCATTTGACTTAGACCTGTTGGCTTGACCGAAATTCATATTGGTTTTAATTTGAGAGCTCGTGTTTCCTTCCAAGTCACAGAGACTCTAAATTCCCATCTCACACTTGTACTAGTCTCATTTTATATATCTGGACTGAGGAAGGACTGGATTTCACACCTAATTAAAAGAGATTGCATTGCCTGCTGTTTCCTTTCTTGTTCATTTTCTCTTGTGCACAGACAGCTTTTTATTCTCATGCTAAGTCCTATCCCTGACACCCCGCAGCTTAAGGAACAGGCAGGAGCTGGGTCCTACAAAACACAGAGCCGGGCCCTCTCTCACCTAAGTCACCACAAGCAGATTTTCCCTTTGGTACCCACTTCTGCTTCAGCCCTATCCACATTGTGCTCCCTGACAAAACAGTCACTTAGAATACATGATCACTTTCAGTGGTAGAATTCCTTGCGTGTTTCTTAGTGAATGCCATCCCAGGCTGACTCTGTACTTTTACGATAGTGGAAAGGAGATAGATTATTATTTTACAACACACACGAAACTATTTTTATCACTTTTTTTCACTTTGCTATCATGTCTGTGTTCCTATCACTGTGAGGATTTTTTAGGTGAGGTGGCATTCCCAAGTACACATAATCTTTGTAAAGTTGTATAGTTTTGTAGAGTGAGAAGGTTTTTTTGTTTTTTTTTTTTTGAATAGCCCAATGCCTATTCAGCGCCAATCTAGGAAAGAATGGAGTCAGCATTTTCACACCATTCCTTCCTATACAGTCCCTGAATAACCATCTAATCAAGATTTGTTTTCAATGGGGGACAAATCTTCTACAGTAGAGTATTTCAGATTTATTCTGTTGGAATCTATACATTAATGTCCATTGGATGAAAAGGACATGTTTGACAAAAGCCTGGACATTGCCTTGTTGTGGCAGAAACTTTTTCCCACTGTATTAGTGTTAAAAAATAAAAGAAAGCCTGGGAAAGGAATTGCTTCAGCATTGTGTGCTAAAGGAGCGAGGCACATTTGAATGGAGAGGCAGGGTCCCCCATCACATCTGTACGCATATCAGCAAAAACGATTCAGCCTTTCATGGCTGCTCACTGCAGTGCAGGACCAGTGTACTCAAGGAGATATTTTTAAAGTGTGTCTATAAAAATCCTTGTTAGATCAGGTCGTATATGTGTGCAGGTTTCAGTTTGTCTCTGTGGTTTTAAATGAAGATGGTGACATCATTACTGCAATAATCATAACTCAAACTATTAACAGAAACTTTTGTGTGTGATCGATTACCTCTGTTTTTGTGTGTGGTTACCTGATTGTTTAGATAGACTCAACCAGTTTGAATAAGTGGTTTGAATTTTTTTCATGTGTGCTCGTGTGTGATATAATGACAGCTTTTGCTGTTGACCATTTCCATCTCTAAAGCAACCTCCTTCATCACTCTTAGTGTCTATCTTCTCCTTTATGTCCTGAGAATTAGGATGTCCCCAGATCTTTGGGCAAAATCCAGGTTTCATTCCTCAAGTGTTATGCCATGAAAATAACACCAAGGGGACTGGGTCCTAATCCCAACCCTGCCACTTACTAGCTGTATAAAACTTTAGGCAACTCATTTAGATACTTGGAGAGACCTGAGTCCCTCTCACATCAAATAGTAATAATAGTACCTGTCCTAAAAGCATATAGATTATTCTTAGGAGTCAATGAGATGCTACGCGGGAGTTTTCTTCATTGTAAAACACTACATGGATATTAATTATTATGATAATTATGACCGAGCTTTCCAGAATTACCAGAAAGATGACAATTCTTCATCATATGTGACATCTCTAGTCATAAAGTTGCGACTGGCGCTATGAGCAAGTGTGTGTTTAAAGGGTATTTTCACCTATGTGGGTAAAAAATATTTTTAATAAATCCATCCTACTCAGAGATGGTGATTTTATCAGAGACTCCACCAGTTTCAACGGTTACTGTTTTACTTAAATGAAAGAGATCTTGGTGATAGTAAAATTGTATATAGAAAACTTGACATTTTAGTGCCAGGACAAGTTGTTTTATCTCTTACATCATTCAGTTTATAAACTTAAAAATGTATGTTCTTTATTAGATGACTGAGGCTATGCCGAAGTCCCAAGAAACATGAACACGATGTGAATAAATGGATAGGTACCGAAGTAGCTGGAGGCCATGCTAGACAAACCTTTCCACACAGCTTTACTGCAGACCCATGGACACCTATGGGCCAGACTTCCTTCAGGGCCAAAGCAGCTAATATAGTGAAGCAGATAAGAGTGTGAACTCTAGAACCAGACTGCCTAGTTCTAGACTGCCAACTCTACCACTAACTGCCGACATAGCCTTGAGCAAATTTCTCTGTCCTCAGTTTCCTCACCTGAAAAATGAGGATAATAATACTACCTACATTATAGGGTTGTTGTTAGGATTAAATGAAATATTATAAATGAAGTAGTGAGACCAGTTTTAAGTACTGGTCAAGTTAGGACTTGACACATGGTACTCTCTAAAAAAAAAAAAAAGTTTGTTCTTATTATTATCGTGGTGCAGACACATAGGAGACTCACCAAGAACTTAGAATTTGGTCTGCTGACTTATTTTCTGAATATTCTTTTCTGGGTTATTGGAACCGTCCTCTGGAGCTATATTTTGTATTAGTACAGTTACAAAGGATTCACCATTATTCTTTAGCAAAGACAATTTGTTTTACATGAGTAAAAAAAATAGAAACAAAAGCCAGATGAACTGTTTTAGGCACAGAACAGACCCAATGGAAGTTGGAACAAGAAGGAATTCTCTTATATAAAAATTTGTGTAAATCATGTCACTGAAAGGGAACAAAGAGCCTGTAGGCATTTATTAATTTAAGTGGATATACATGAGGCTGATAAATATAAAGATGGGAACAAAGGAAACGAATGAGTATATAAAAGGATGTCACACCAACTGAGCTCAGACAGCATGAGGAGATTGAGTGAAGCAAGGTAGAAATTCTAATTGATCTCAGATTTACCTGAGCAGGTCCTCTCTACCAAGGCAGAGAAGACAGAACCTGAGAAGGTGCGCATTCTTCCTGTCCACAGGCCATTACCTCTGGGACCTCTTCTAAGAGGACACAGAGATCTGGGTCACAAGCCAACAATCAGTGCATGGGCCACCTGGTTTTGAAAGCCCACTTACCCGGCCTCTCTCAAGCTGATTATTCAGTCGTGAAGGCAAAAATGGGGAATCTGATTGAAGAGTGATTTGGAGAGAGGGATTCCTTAGAGCCCTTTGAGAAGTTAGGTAGGAAAAAAAAAATCCCTAAGACTTATTGCTAAGCCGCCTGTTTTCTTTCTCAATCTGTGACCACAATGTCACTGACATTATCCCTTGTCTTCACAGCCTAGGGCATAAGGTTGGCAATGGGGTCAGGGTATTCACAACCTCCACATAGCTGACCGTTGCCTTCCTCCTAGGAGCTGTTTGATACTTCCCTCTAGCAAGTCCGTAGAGCACCTAGTTACCTAGTGTGCTCATACATCCCACTCCTCATTTACTCCTGCTATCCTGACCTAATTATTAACAGTACTCCCTTTCACTCTCAAAGTATCCAGTTTGAATGGTAAATATGATCACCTAGTATACTCCAGTCTCAGGTCAGTTGCTAGCATCTCTCATCTTTTTACCACTCCTTCTTCGTTAAGGCTCAGAAAATTCAGAAAACCACCATATCACATACAACCACCCTAGAAAGTACTCACATTGTTGAAGATGACGAGAACAATGTCACCTGTAGAATGTTCCTGTAGATACAGAAAGCAGCAGGCAGAATACAGATTGTATTCTGTAACCTGTCCCTCAACTGGAAAACACAGTAGCAGCTGTTTGGTGAACATCTTAGTCTGGGGTGATGAACATTGTTGCAGTCTATAAATAAAATAAGAAATTTCGACAAGTTGGGGAAAATGTAAGCTTTCCCAAAGGACCTGGGCTCAGGTCTCAAGTGGAGGTGGAGCTGCATGAGAACAAGTCTTCTTCTTGCCTTTCAGTTCTTATTTGCTTAAGTTGTAAGAATGGCAGGCAGATGACCCATCTGTTTATTAGGCTGCTCTACTTCAACTGCAACCCTGGCTGAAGCTCTAGGTTATTAATATGGACTCAATATCCCAAAATAGCTGTGGCACTATTGGGACAAAATTCAAGGCCTTGTCCCCATAAGACATCGTACCTACAGCTTGACCCTTGTGCAAAGCCTGTCCACCTCTCCCCCGAGTCCACTTGTGTCTGCAAGGGGGTTGCTTCTAGGAGCTGTGAACATTACCCACCTGAGACCTAGGTGTTGGGAATGCAGTCAGCTAGCTCTGACCCACACCCTGTTTTGTGTCTGTCTTGGCGCACAGGTGACATCAGTTGCAAGGGGATGACCGAGCGCATTCACAGCATCAACCTTCACAATTTCAGCAATTCCGTGCTCGAGACCCTCAACGAGCAGCGCAACCGTGGCCACTTCTGTGACGTGACGGTGCGCATCCACGGGAGCATGCTGCGCGCACACCGCTGTGTGCTGGCAGCTGGCAGCCCCTTCTTCCAGGACAAGCTGCTGCTGGGCTACAGCGACATCGAGATCCCGTCTGTGGTGTCGGTGCAGTCAGTGCAAAAGCTCATAGACTTCATGTACAGCGGTGTGCTGCGCGTCTCGCAGTCGGAAGCCCTGCAGATCCTCACGGCCGCCAGCATCCTTCAGATCAAAACAGTCATCGATGAGTGCACACGCATCGTGTCACAGAATGTGGGCGATGTGTTCCCGGGGATCCAGGACTCGGGCCAGGACACGCCGCGGGGCACTCCTGAGTCAGGCACATCGGGCCAGAGCAGCGACACCGAGTCAGGGTACCTGCAGAGCCACCCGCAGCACAGCGTGGACAGGATCTACTCGGCACTCTACGCATGCTCCATGCAGAACGGCAGCGGCGAGCGCTCCTTCTACAGCGGTGCGGTGGTCAGCCACCACGAGACTGCACTCGGCCTGCCCCGCGACCACCACATGGAAGACCCCAGCTGGATCACGCGCATCCATGAGCGCTCGCAGCAGATGGAGCGCTACCTGTCTACCACCCCCGAGACCACGCACTGCCGCAAGCAGCCCCGGCCCGTGCGCATCCAGACCCTGGTGGGCAACATCCACATCAAGCAGGAGATGGAGGACGATTACGACTACTACGGGCAGCAAAGGGTGCAGATCCTGGAGCGCAATGAATCCGAAGAGTGCACGGAAGACACTGACCAGGCCGAGGGCACCGAGAGTGAGCCCAAGGGCGAAAGCTTTGATTCGGGCGTCAGCTCCTCAATAGGCACCGAGCCCGACTCAGTGGAGCAGCAGTTTGGGCCCGGGGCGGCACGGGATGGCCAGGCTGAACCCGCCCAACCTGAGCAGGCCATGGAAGCCCCTTCAGAGGGCGGCCCACAACCACACCAGTTAGAGACAGGTGCCTCCTCCCCGGAAAGAAGCAACGAGGTGGAGATGGACAACACGGTCATCACTGTCAGCAACAGCTCCGATAAGAGCGTCCTGCAGCAGTCTTCGGTCAACACGTCCATCGGGCAGCCTTTGCCAAGTACCCAGCTCTACTTACGCCAGACAGAAACCCTCACCAGCAACTTGAGGATGCCTCTGACCTTGACCAGCAACACACAGGTCATTGGCACAGCCGGCAACACCTACCTGCCGGCCCTCTTCACTACCCAGCCCGCGGGCAGCGGCCCCAAGCCTTTCCTCTTCAGCCTGCCACAGCCCCTGGCAGGCCAGCAGACCCAGTTTGTGACAGTGTCCCAGCCCGGCCTGTCGACCTTTACTGCACAGCTGCCAGCGCCACAGCCCCTGGCCCCATCTGCAGGCCACAGCACAGCCAGTGGGCAGGGCGAAAAAAAGCCTTATGAGTGCACTCTCTGCAACAAGACTTTCACCGCCAAACAGAACTACGTCAAGCACATGTTTGTACACACAGGTGAGTACAGGCCCCCTGGAGGCCTGGCAGCAGAAGTGGGTCTTAGGGGGCTGTGGGAATGGAGGGGTGGGATAGCAGGTGGAAGGGAAGGTTTGGAGTCATTGTTCAGATTTTAAGGAGACCCTCTCTAAGCCATCGTTTAGAAGCCCCAACTGTGGCCCCATCATAGGAACAAAGCACCCTGCCACCAAAAGACAAAATCACAGAAGCCTTTTATGCAGAAGGACCAAATGGGAAAAAGCCTTATAAAGAATTTGCAGGCACAAGGTCACTTAAATACACTGAACTTTGTAATACATTCTTTCATCCTAGATGTTTAGAACTGAAAAAGTCCTTGGAGTTTATACACTCCAATCACCTCATTTTACAGACCATGGTCATCAGAGCAGGGATGAGTATTTTAGTCTGTATTAAGTTCTACATGAACCTTCAGTTTGAAGAGGCCACAACAAGGCCGATGTAAGCGTAAGCTGAATTTGTGGTCCCTGAAATGAGGAGGAGTGATAGACTCGCTCTTATTTTCTATTGCTTATTCTCTATTTTCAACATCTAAAGACCACAGTCTGTTCTGGGTACTACCTTTTAAAAGGACAGTAAATTGATCGGGGCACATTTAGAGGAGTAAGAATAGGATGATGAAGGATGCAAAGCTAGGGTGTATGAATCCCGGTTGAACGTCCTAGGATGTTCAGACTGCAGAAAAGAAGATTTGGGACATCAGATAAGTCATACCCAAGTATTGGAGCTTCAGGGACAGCAAAATGTAGTAGTTAAGTTGGTGCTTTGGAACAAGATTGCCTGGGTTTGCATTTAGACTTAGTGACTTCTGAACTTTGTCACCATGGGAAATTTACTTAACCTTTCTATACTTCAGTTTTTTGTCTGTACAATGGGGATAATAGTGTTAGATCTTTCTTATAGTGCTGTTTTGAAGATTAAATGAATATATGTAAAGTTTTTAAAACAATTCCTTGCGCATAATAAGCATTATGCAAATGGTAGCTATCATTAGTATTATTAATATTATTTAAATGGTTGGGTGGAAAGAGACATTAAGCTTGTTTTGTTTGGGTCCAAAAGATAGAAGTGGAGCAATGACTGGAAGCTATAAGGAGATTCTTTCAACTAAATTAAAGCAAAATGTTTGTTGGCAGTCAGAGATGCTCTAAGATGGGATAGACAGCCTTCAAAGGAAGTGAGTTCCTATAATTAGAGGTGTTCAAGGAGAGAATGGATGATCATTTCCTAGGGATGTTGTAGAAGGGATTCAATCATCAGGTGAGGTGGTGTTTCATCCCTGGATTCTATGATTCTAGAGCTAAGGTCTGACCCCACAGCCAGTGCTCTTTCCTAGCTCCTTAATGGGACAGACATAGACGTGAGAACTCCGTGGATGCTCTTCCGTATAAGGGACCACGTATGCGATATGATCTCACATAGATTCTCTTGTACCTGCAGATACCTACCCCCAATGATGATCATCATATTTGAAATTCCTGTTATGAAAGTTACTCTTCTTGTAAACTCTTCTGGCTAAATGACAAATAAGTTGCCAGGAGAAAGTTACATACTCAAATTACAAGACATGAAAACAAAGTAGTTCTTCAAAGCAATCTTGTTTCTCAGATCAGCTAGCAGGAATAGCCAAGGGATAGGATATAAAACAGATCAATTTAAACTGGGGACTAGAAGGGAACAGACACTGAAACAAGGTACCCAACATGGAAGTGAACAGCTTCACTGGAACATTACTTAAGATGAACATTTCCTTCTTTGCAGTTCAGCTTAAGTCAGGACATTATATAAATCCATGAATGTAGCTTAATGCAAATCACTTGTTCCTAAAACAACTTTTGTTCATACCTCCTAAAAAAATAGTGAACTTAAGAAGAAAATCAGGTAGTGGTGAGTCACTGTGTTTACTTGGAGTAAATGTGAATACACTAATAACCTGAGCTCAATCACAGAAATTTTCCGTGTGGTATGGGTATCATCATTATTTGGTAAATCGATCAAATAGGAATTTTTTTTTTTTTAATTCATGTGGCAATTTATGGTTTACAGAGTGCCCTCACATAGCATATGTTCTTTCCTCCTCCAAATAGCTGTCTTATAAACCATCAAATTAAGGATTAAGGTGGGAAAAGAGACCAATTGTGGAACTATCTTCTTAGCCAAAGTTGACTTTGCTGGTCTTGGATCCATAAATGTTTCTGCTTTTTCCTTCTGTGAATCTCTTCAGTAGACCTAGCAGATATTAAAATAAGGCTTTAAATTTGCAACATAAAATTTGCAGTGCATTACTAAAAATTACCTTTTTGGTGAATAAACACATTTATCCAATGGATTCACCAAAGGATTCTGTGGTTAACCTAAATAACTAGATTTGCCCATAAGAAAACCAGCAATCAGTTTGCACATTTATGAATCATAAATACAAAAGCTACAAGTAAAGTCATTTTATAAATATAGGTTACTCTTAATGTGTACGCTTCAGATATCTAGTAAACTATCAGGGTCCTCAGTAAATTGTAAAGGGCTTTATATTGGTGAGTATAACATGGCCACATCTGAGAACAATTAATAACGTACATCTATCACTTCAGCACCTCATTTAGAAGAAGCAATACTCTTCCCTTTCACTCCAGAATTATTTGGCAGTGTCAGTTTGGAAGGGCCATCTATCAAGACTCTTGTCTGACTAAAGGAGTCTATAACCTAACAACATGCAAAAACAACTGGTCTAGATTCTCAGAAGCAATACAGCCTGATTATATGGAAGTAATAAAGAACCTGGATTCACAGTGCCCCACTTTTTGAAAAAAAAATTCTCTCCAATTTCTTCAGAAAACACCAAAAGTGGGTCCTCCCAAGTTTACAGGAGCCCAGTAAAGAAAATGATAAAAATCCAAAGCAAAAGTCCAAATTGGTCTAAAAAAATTCCAGAAAGTACTGGGGATACTAGGAAGAGTGGGGATGGATTCAGTATTCTGACCTATAGTCTAACCAAAAAGAATCCTACCAATAAAGAGTATAGACAGAACTAAAAGGAAAGAAATTTGGGTTCTTGGCTTCACAGCTACTATGTATGGTAACTGACTTTGCATTTCTATAGCTCCGTGGTTTAACGTCAATGGTACTTGCTTTCAACAACTGTAGAAAATCAATTCTAAGATTGGATTCCAAGTAGAATTCTGTGTAGCTTTATGTTAATGATCCACATAGTCATTGAAAGGAAGTGTCTGCGACAAATAAGTAGTCCATTGTATTGATTTTGGAGCTAAGCTCTACCTTAGAGAACCAAGGAAGCCCTGGTTATAAAGCGTATGCCATGATGACTATAACACTAAAACTTAGAGTGGGACATAAGTGAAAGATGATTATACTTTAACTAGATTATTTGGGTTGAGTTTGCTTCCTCTAATTGTGGCCTAAAGCAAGTCACTTAATTTCATAACACTCAGCTTCTTTGAGTTTAAAATGGAAATAATAATTTGCCTGCCTTTTGAGTAGCTGTAAAGTTTTGATGCATATGAGAGCTTTTCATAAAAGGTAAAGTACTACTTAATGTTTTAAAAAAAAAATTGTCATTGTTACTTTAGACCCCTTCTCCCGGGAGACATTGAGTTTCTTTGCTCTATACCCAATCTCTGAATAATAAGCTCTCGACATGTTTCCTTCCTCTATGGAATTCAAATATTCCTTGGGTTTCCCTTGAACTTCCTTCATAACATGAACATTTTTTTCCTCATTCCTTAAGG